TGCATCTGTTTCCCATCAGTTCCATTATGCAATTATAGCAAAAATTCCTCAGCTGCCTCTGGGTATGATTCCCCCTTCAAACTTAACATAGGGTTGGGAGGGAGGATAGGGGATATCTAACAGAAAGTCACCCATGTTGATGGGAATTCTTGCAAAGTAGTACCAAATCACAGTTTAAAGCTGCAATGTTTAACTTTCTTCCAGGAACCAGAGTGCTAACTTCCAGAAAGAACTTTGCTGAACTCTAGTTTTAAATCCAGCTCTGTTCCTGGAGGAGAAAATGAGATAGTTGCTGGGGGAAATCCAATCTGATTTATGCATTCATTGAGCTTTAGTTACAGTACGGCTAGCTATTACCAGCTGAATGGAAGCTCATTTTGCCCCAGACCATGCATATTCCCAAACTTAACTGAATGGTTGAGGAAGTCATGGCAAAACCACAAGGTACAGTAGGTAGCTGGACCAAAACTTAGCTCTAATGTACAAATTTTGTACTGTTCACACCCAAGAATTAACAGTTTCGAAAGCAAGTGCATGGGGCAAATGAAGTCTGGGGAAAAGACTAGTGAGAGCTGCTTTCTTTTCCTTTCTTTGTAGCAGAGGAAGTAACCTGAAGGGAAAGGAGAGGAGAAATCAACTTGGAGGGGCAGCTTTGTGCTATACACACTTAAAGAACTTTCCAAACTGGGGCAAGTGATTTTGATTAATCGAATTGAATGTTGTGTTTTCTATTATGGTGAGATTTAGGCTGTGTCTACACTGGCAAGTTATTCCGGAAAATCAGCCGCTTTTCCGGAAAAACTTGCCAGCTGTCTACACTGGCTGATTGAATTTCCGGAAAAGCACTGATGATCTAATGTAAAATCATCAGTGCTTTTCCGGAAAAACTATGCTGCTCCCGTTCGGGCAAAAGTCTTTTTCCAGAAAACTGTTCCGGAAAAGGGCCAGTGTAGACAGCACAGTAGTGTTTTCCACAAAAAAGCCCCGATCACGAAAATGACGATCGGGTCTTTTTTGCAGAAAAGCGCGTCTAGATTGGCCACGGACGCTTTTCCACAAAAAGTGCTTTTGCAGAAAAGCGTCCTGCCAATCTAGACGCGCTTTTCCGAAAAGCATTTCTGGAAAATCATGCCAGTGTAGACGTAGCCCTGGTGTCTAGTTGGTGAAGGAATTTTTTAGAATTTTAGGATATGCAATGATGGACTCGATCCTGCACTGAGTGCCATGTAGGCAGAACCTTGCCCCCATTCAGAGCCCCGCCAAAGCTCACTATGCAGGTGATGTGATCTGTCCCCATGGTGCTGGTTTAGGATTGTGGGGGCTAATTTGGATTTAAGCCCTGCCTGTGTTACAGTTTTGAACCTGAGGATATTTCTGCTCCTCTCACCCATCTTAATTTCCCATGAAGAAGCAAAAAACCATAAAGTCCCATTTCATTGCTTCAGTTTTAAATATTTATTTAAAGTAAAAAAAAAAAAGAGAGTTTAAGGTGAACAAATGGAAATTCCAACCTCATGAAACAAAAAACCATCAACAAGAGGATGAGAGGGGGAGAAATGGGACAGAGATGTGTGTGGGGGTGCAAGAAAAGAAGCAAGCAAGCAATGAGATTATGGTAGCTTCAACACAAATGATCTGGGATGAGAGGAACTCAATGGCTGAGCCCTGGGCTGGCAGCTTGAGGTATTTGAGAAGCACCAGAATCAGAAGGGGAGTTGAGGTATTTGAAAAATCTTAACTTTTAGCTCATTGGAAAAACAAACCAAAGACAACTGCAAAAAGAATACACAGAATGACACACTTTGTTTTTCTCCAGACAAAATTCATAGTC